CAGTTTTATACAAAATTCCATTTTACTGAAGCACAATAGTTCTTCAACCCAAATTATATTCTACTGAAGCATGTCTTTTCTCAATGTTGAATATATTCACTGGGAATGATTAAAAACAAAGAAAGGAATGGGAAATTTTAAAAATGAAAGTTCTGGTCACTTTTTAAAAGGTGAAAAAGAAAGAATGCAAGAAGGAAAAATCTAAATACTTTCTCAAGCATGACACACACCTTTATCGCCAATGTATTCCTGGAAGTCAATGAGACCATCGCTGTTGGTATCCTTCTCCTCTAGTGTCTGCTGCAGGATAATGGGAAGCATGTCGGGGCTCTCCTCTGGGTGTGAGAAGGCTAGGAATTCCATATCGTCTAGTCTTCCATCTATGTTCTTGTCTGCAGCATTGAATAACTGTCGGTCCTCACGCAAGAGCTGCACAGGGCAATATATGAGCATTAGTTTCTTTCTGGTTTCATGGCATCTTCCTCAGGATTGTTTAACCACTGAGCGTCAGCCACACCTCAAGCAAGGAAGCATCTGGCTCAAGTCATGTTTCTCTTACTTCTTTCTTTACATAAAAATATTATCTGATGTCCATAATTTTTATTTTCAAGCTTATACTAAAACTAAATAATAAACCATGAAAAGAAATTATCTCTTTGTGATCACTGTACACCACAAGATAGGAACAGATTAAAGGTAACTGTTCACATCAGAGATTACATTCACATATGGTCCTTGGACAATATTCACAAAAGATTATAACTTTCTTCGACAGAAATAAATCAAAATAAATAATTACCCTATTAATTTATAGACTATCACCAAAAACTTAATCAATAATTCACAATGTTGCTACACTTCAGAGTTATCACATTAATTTGAATATCTACACCTTAACATACCCTCTGATAACACATATTTAACTAACTCTGCACTAACTCTGACATATCAAGATTATGATACTGCACAATTTAATATCTTTCATAAGCAAACATAAAGCAATTTTGAGTCATTGTTAGTATATTTCTTGACCATGATATTGAAACTAGAGGACAGAGCTAAGTGACAAAAAGGGGCCCTAAGCTCTCCATACAATAACTGTTATGCAGTTAGCTACAACATATGTCAAATTGGAGAAAAGCAGTATTACAAAATCTAACACAACCATTTAGCTAAACAGTTTGCAAATTATATTTCTCCATAATTGTTTCCTTGCATTCCAATTTGCTACTCCAAAACAATTTCAACTGCATGGTCAGGCATGATTTAGTGTTTTCTTTTTCAATTTTCCCAATTATTGCAAAAATGAAAGTTTGATGACAATCCTACATCTTGTTTTTTCACTCAAGTCACACAAAAGAAGCCTTTAATGACAACATTGTTGAGGTAAACTCTTGCACAGTATAATATCTGTCTTGGTACCATTTCCACTGAACTTTCTATGATGGTTCACAGAAACTAACTCACATTTTTTTCTCTCTCTTGAAACAAACTTTCTGATCCGAAAGAGAAATGACACCATTGGTTCTGCCAGTATCCTTAACAAAACCTAATGCTGCCACTGGCCACTTTTCCTATTACTCATTCTTGATGTAAAGCAACATATCATTCTTTGCTTCCTTGCTATCATTTTCTTCACTCAATCAAATACTTTCTCATCCTCTCTATTATGCTCTATCACTTTCTTATCCCCTTACCCTTGTCCATCTCTTTCCAGATCTTATTTCTCTTCCCTGACCTTGCCCCAATCATTTTCCACATCCCTCATCCTCTAGTCCTTACCCTATCACCTCCCGCATCCTTCTCTCATCCCGATCTTTCTCCAATCTTACCCTCTGTTCTTCAACTTGATCCTCCTGGTCTAGGAGCTGCTGGTCCTCTGGTCCTTGATGCCATAGGTTTCGGCAATGTACTCAGCCCAGGTGACGTATCCATCTTCATCTTCATCCACCTCATCCATGCGCTCGGAACTCTCTTCCTCTGACAGCATTCTGAAAAGTTCACATCAAAGTTCATACAATAATCCTTAAGAGATGGGAGACAAAGACTTTTCTCATATATTTCTTCTGGAGAAAGTGACTCTTCAGTCTTTTCCTTAGAGAACGATCTCTTACCTGAAAGAGCGAAGAATCCAAGAATGGAGTTCCTTACGATCAATATGTTTGTCATTATCGCGGTCCATTTTCACAAGAAGGATCTCCAGCCGTCTTTTCGCCTCCATAGCTGGGAGTTGATCGTATTCCTCTGCATCCTTGACGCTGCCTGTGAATTCACAAGATATTTGTTCTGAACTTCCAAGCTAAATAACATGCAAAAGAGGGACTATTCTCCACAGAACAAGACTGACAGCGTTGCTTGATTTCTTTACTGGAATAGCTTTCATTCAAACTTTACACTAATAAAAATGAGACCCCTACAGCATATTGCACCAAACATAAAAAGGATATAGAATGCATAAAACTGGGTAAAGTTTTGTAAATAACAATTGGAATAGATCTGGAAGTAGGACAGGTTTCTGTATTTTTCAGACTAAATTATACATTTTTTATCATTTGATGCTACGTTATTATGAAACAACTATAAATCATAAATAAGAAAATCATCATGCTCTTCTGCTAAAGTCCCATGAATAAAACTATTCTAGATATCAAAATGATATAAATGACAGTAATGATAATATTAACATTAATATTAATTTTTTTATTCATCATTACCATCCACTTTCACCTTCCTTTAGTTTTCAGGGAAAAACATTTTTTAATAGACTAATGCATCCAACATCAATGCTGGTTCTACTATTATAAACATCATTATAACTTATTCACATTGCTACCAGCAATAAAAGATCAAAGGAAATATATGCGAAAATCAAGGGAAAGAGTAAACAGTTGGAGCCACCTAAGTGTAAAGACAATCAATAAACTAATCCTACAGTGGCCATAGCATGTATATACATCATCACATAGCTCACTTTAATTCACCCATCATCATATTCATCACTGTCATCATCATGCCATTGAGAATCATGCAGTTAATAAGAATATTTTTTTATTAAAGAAAATGCCACTACACACCTAGAATTGCTTCATGGTCGAAATCAGCATTGTGTTCCCCATTGCTATAATGGCCGTGGTCTCGTGGGGTCCTGGTACCATCTGCCTCTCGCTCTTTCTGGGCATTGTGCAGGTGGTGCGTGTGAGCAGTGGCTTCTCTTAGCGCCAGCACGCCCAATACCAACCCCAGGGCTAAGCTCCAATGATTCATTTTTATGCCTTATCTGGAAAAGAGGTAAAAGGGCATCATTTTCCAACTTCAGGTATATATCATATAATAAATATGTAAATATATACTAGATCAAAAGACCCACAAGACACTGGGACTGATGCACAGATACATATATAGACAAATAGATAAATAATTAGATAAGAGATGGTTAGATAGATAGACAAATAGATAAATAAATAGATAGATAGATAGGTAGATAGATAGACAAATGGATAGATAGATAGATTGATAGATAGATGATAGACAAAACATGGGGGTCAAGAAAAATCCCTAGATAGTGATAATAAGGTCTGGAATGCAGTGTCATGTCATCATAGGATATTTTCCTCATTTTATTTTTTCTTAAATCAAAATAAATACACATATGAGTGAATTAATAAGAACACAAACAAATATAAAAATGAGTTAATAAATAAATATACAAACATATATTCAGTTATACATTCTGCAATTTTAGTTAATTTCAAGTAATATGTGACACCCAAAAGAGCCTTTACCGCTGGAATACTTCCTCAATCATATTGGTCATGTTCCATCTCATACCCTTGAAATTCACAAAAAAATTAAGTTCAACCCCACTGCCCAACAGCATCTAGCCAGCTTCCCTTGTGTCATCTGTGTTCTGGGAGAGGATAACAAACCTCTACCACTTCTGGTAAGAAAGAGCTTGGACTAGTTCGTTTTTTCACAACAATTGGCAGGTCTAATACTCTGTCAAATTATGCTGCTTTCAAAACTCCCTGTCCAGTAAGCTGGACAAATTGGACAAGATGTTCTAAAGTTTGAAAAATCCATGTTAGCGTCCAGGACAAGTTGTCTCTCTCGTCCATCTCATCCATCTCACTCTCCTTTACAGCTGGGTGAGGAGGACGAGATGACATCGCAGTAGCATTTGCGTGTAAATAAAGAGTAGCAGGCAACCATAAGATATTGGTAGGTAATTTTATGGCCCTATATTGTTGTTATCAAAGGGTATTTTTGTGTTTGTTAGTTAAAGGTAAGTTACCTGTGCATCTAATGAGTTCCAAAACCTATGCAGTGTGTAAATGTAAGACACCAGTATGATAAAATAGTGAATGTTTATTTTTTTGGTTGCATTGTGAGCAATGAAGCCTCGGAGGGTTCCAAAGACAGCTTCGTTCTCCCACTGGCACTGATAAGTTGTCTGGACAAACAAGACAAGCAGTTCCAAATGCAGCATTAGAACCTAAATGATGGTTTGTTCTTTTATCAAAAGAATGGATCCATAGGTGTGAAATATAGGCCTACCATAACATGAAAAGACTGTATAAATGTAGGCCTATAAAAAAAAAAACATATCTTAGTTGGATGTAATTAATCCTAAGCTTTCTCCCACCTAAACTAAAATTCTAACCCTGACAAGACTACCAAGGAACTCCCTGCCTTATACGAACCCCAGGGGCTGATGCAACCTAAATCCCGAACAATAACACAAATAACTTCCATAAGAAATGCTATACAAGTCCCAGAGTTCGTTTACCCCGTCCTCTCCCGCACTCACCTCCTTTCCGTCTGCTTTCAGCTCCTCTGCTCTCTGCTGTCCTCTTCCTCCCCTCTTCCCGCTGCCCTTTGACTTGACTCCACGTAGTGACCAGTGACGTGTACCTCGCAAGTGTCTAAAGAGTAAAATGGGAGACGGTGCCGCCAGCTGCCACCCTACGCCACCATCAACAACATCTGCTACTGGTAAATGC